TCAGAGGAAAACCTGTCACTGTGGCTACAACTTGAGTGAATGGCTTTTAACACTCTCCGCTCAGTACTTCCCTAGCCATGGCAAATCCCAGTTTTTCTCAAAAGGCTTCCTTTCCTCCAGGGATAACGAGACCCATGGTCCTACTTGATTCTCACAGCATTCTGGGAATGAGACACTAATGTGAGGAAACTGTGAAAACAGCAAAGGGCTGATGCAAGAGGACATATGGGCATCATGAGGCATCGTGACGGCCACAGTGTCTGTTTGCAAGCCCATGAGAGCATAAGGAATGAGGAACTGAACACGCACATATGTGTTGCTAAGAATCAGAGCCCACAGGAAATGGGAATCAAGGTGTGGCCAGCACTTAGCTACACACTACAGGAAGGGATTAGGGGGCCCACGTGTGGACCATGGCTAGGTGAGCTGCCACCAGCCAATGGGTGGGTCCCACAGCTGCTCTTGGAGCTGATGTTCACTCTGCTTCATTCATAGCAGAGTTGGTGAGAGAGGTGCCACAGCTGGAGGCAGCAAGAGGATCCAGAGGCTGTGTTGAGTTTCATCAATTAACTGTGAGCTGCTGTGTAGTAGCAGGGACCAGGTTGGGGTGAGGATCCCACCCTTAATCCATACGAGAATCCCCAGGAGGCCTGGCATCTTTCCTGCTATTTTCTTTTTCTTCTCTCCATGTTGGATGGTTAGTTTTGATTGTCATGTTGAGTAGATTGAGAAACATCTATGGAGTAGTGAGGCACACCTCTGGGTGTCTGTGATTGTGTTTCTGGAGAAAATTTGATCCTGAGGCCTTTGACTTCATCAGTGTATTAGTCCTTCGAGAGGTCCTTAATAGGATGGCATTATGGCAGTAGGAGACGGGACCATGTTGCGGGGCACAGCAGCAAGAATGTGTCCCTGGGAGCTGTGTCTGCCCTGGCCTCTCCCTGTGTTCCTTTTCTCTCTGCCTGTTTTGTTGGAAAAATTAAAAACCCCCAAAAGCCACCAGTGATCCTCACTAACTCACACACCCTCAAACAATATAAGAAAGTCCCTGAGAGCACTCTGAATCCAAGCACCTAAGTTTCCTGTCCATCAAGAAGTCACTCAGTCACATGTTCCTGCCACTGTGATGTCCTGCCCAAGTACACAGAGCCAGGCAACCATGAGTGAACCCTCTGAGGCCATGAACTCAAATAACAATTATTTCCCTTGAGTTGTCTTTGTTAGATATTCTAGTCGCAGTGACAAAAAGGAACATACCACACACACTTTGTTTCTTATAAGCTATACACATCCACAAGGAAACACTTTCCCTTAAAGACCCCCAACCGACAGGTGGGTGTGCCACCAAGCATAGGTGTGCCATAACATCTAAATGTGAGGTCTGCCATCCTAGCACTTGACTAAATCTGGTTAAGAGACCTGACAATGCGGCGGCCTGAGGGTTGTCAAGGCAGATACAAACATGACTGACTCCGTCAGAGATTCCGTGTTTCGCTGTGAGTTACTGAGTTGAACTGGAAGGCTGAATACCTATATATTGCCTCCCCAGAGTCCCCGGAACTGGCTATCTAAAGGTCTGTAGAGACAGTGAGAAGCACTAGTGTTTGCGACATCTCTAACAAAATAATTTGAGTCAAATTGAATTCAAAGATCTGTCTTTGACATGTATTTAGAATCTTAACCAGCTTTCTCTTCATTACTTTGATGTTTCAACAAAGACATTCAGAAATGGCCAATCACTCATTAAATATCGATCATATTAGACAGAAAGGGGAGAGAAATTAGTAGTTCTAGTAATTAGTTTGAAATGGCTACCAGTTCCTATGTACCAAAAAGCACACGTAGCCAGGAAAAGTCAGGAGGGGCAGTTGGCAGGTGTCTCATGGTGGGGTGGGCTGGGGTGGGAGGGCTCAGTAAGACCTGGCAGCTGAGGACTAGGAAGGCGGGAGAATGAGACCTGGAGCCCTGCAGCACATCTGTGACATGAGACCTAGGGCCTCTGCCACAAAGAAGCAGGACAAAACTTGATGCTTCAGAGCTAAAATACATACAGAAACTTCAAATGACTCTTGTTGGGCAGAAGCTCTGTGATGGCCCATTGTTCTGTCCCTGGGGCAGAGTTAGAAGCCAAGGTAGCCAGAACTGCTGTTGGGATCCCCATGCAACCCCTCTGAGCAAATGTGGGTTAGGGTCTCTCACAAGAGGAGCCTCTCCCACAGGATACCTACCACATTCCACTTTCTGGCCACTATAGGCTTGTAGCCATATCATAATGCAAAAGTGCATTCAGCCCGTGTGCTTTTTGGTACATAGGAACTGGTAGCCATTTCAGACTAATTACTAGAACTACAAACCCGTTTCTCTTCCCTTTCTGTCTAATATGATCGATATTTAATGAGTGATTGGCCATTTCTGAATGTCTTTGTTGAAACATCAAAGTAATGAAGAGAAAGCTGGTTGAGGTTCTAAATACATGTCAAAATCTACACTGCACCCCTTGACAATAAGCTGTTTGTTCTAACCTTCTCAGCATGTACATTGTGATTTCACATTGTGGATAGGGTCATTTATTAGAGAACCTATAAGTGGCAATGAAGGCAAATAAATAAATATAGACTCAATGCTGCCAATCTTATAGCCACATTTAGATGCATTTGATTTTTGTCTGATTTCCCATTGGAGGGCTCAGCAGTGCCACTGAAGGCTGTCATGGACCAGCAATGTGTTTATGAGGCCTGGGGTGAAATAGCAGTGATCTACTGATGAATTTATCCAGGCTGTCTTTGTAAATGAAGAGTGCTGTCAAGGCAAGACTATTTGTCTACTTTCATTGTCATCACTTTAGTAGAGAGGTGTTAAATTGAGATTATTGGTCCAATGTGGGTTTGGATTTAGGCTGAGCAGGTGTTTGTTGGATGGATGCTTGTCTACTTGGTTCTTCAATGCATTCACGTCTGTTTGTGAGAATAAGGCAAAAACATAAGCTATGAGAATGTATTGATTAGTTTTCTATCACTATAATTAAAGACATGAGCTAATTAACTTATTAGGAGGAAAGGTTCATTTTGGTTCACCACCACCACTTTAAGATGAGGTGGAATCACTTCAAGTAAGACCCTTGATGGTGACCATGGTTGCTTGTGTCAGAACAAAACATTCACATCGGAAGTCAGAGCTCAGAGAGAGCTAGACCAGCTGGGATCCCACAGTCCCTTGGGATAGACTAGTTACTTTCTCGTTGTTGTGACCAAAGCCCTGAAAAGAAGCAACTTAAAGAAGAATTTGTTCTGGCTTACAGTTTAAGTTAGAGTTTGAGGGGATATATTCCACCATGGTGGGGGAGACATGACAGTGGGAGCAGTAAACTGTCTAGTCACATAGCCTCTGCGTCAGGAAGCAGAGTGAACAGGAAGTAGATCTGAGCTATAAAACATCAAGGTCCCACTCCTGTGAGTCACTTTCTCCAGTGCAGTGTCACCAGCTGGAGACCAAGTGTTCTGACCCATGAACCTAAGGGAGACATTCCACATTTAAACCACAGCAAAGGGTGTGCCCTCAATGACCTAAAAACTGTCTACGGTTCCCCGGCTAAGAAGCCACAGCAACTCCCAAGAGTGCACCCTGGGGACCTAGCCTTTGACACGTAGAGTCATGCAAACCACAACAGAGAACATAGGCAGGTCACTAAGTGTTGTCCAGATTGAGCCACACACACACATATTAAAGAGTTCAAAGGAAAAGCCATGGTCAGTAGAATCAGGAAATTGGGTACCAGGAAAGTCTGGTATAGAACCCTACACCTAAAGATGAGAGCCTTTTATCTGTCTTCCCCCTTGTAAAGGCTTTAGTAGCCAGTGAGGTTCAGTCAGTTAGTGGGCACAGAACTTGTACAGTATGACTCTTGTGTCCTGACTGCTGTGGGATGATCCTTCTGTATGCTGTGAGTATGCATTACTCTCATTGGTTAATAAAAAAAAAAAAAAGCTGATTAGCCTATTGCAAGGCTAGACAGGAAAGGCAAACTGAAAAGGCTGGGGGAAAGAAGGGTGGAGACAGAGAGAGGCCAGCCAGCCGCCAGGGGAAACAAGATACTAGAGGACAGGTAAAGACACAGGCCACGTGGCAATGCATAGATTAATAGAAATGGGCTAATTTAAATGTAAGAGCTAGTTAGTAATAAGCCTCTGACTCGGTTATTTAGGAACTGGCAGGCTGGGAAGAAACATCCGACTACACCTAACACTGGGGAAAGTGCCCCTTGGTGATGGTGTGCAGTCTCCTGGTGCAAAATCTACATGATGTCTTGGCGGATCAAAGAATGCAATTCCAGTATCAGAAGGTAGCTTTCTTGGAGGTAAATGTTCCGTCGGGTTGATGTATATTTGTTAAATGACCTGGGTTTCCAACTTAGGCCCATACATTGTACGTCATGGTGTTCCTAGGAGACAGTTTGAGAGCCCAAGACCTTGGAGTGACCCAGCCATGAGTGAAGTGAGCTCCTCCTCTGGGTTTCAGGAATGACGTGAGACTCTGAAAAATTATCTTTACACTCAGACTTCTAGGAAGGCTCAGAGGACATCTTCCAGAAATGATCAATGAAATCTCTGAACCTGTAATTAATTTTCTGAGAGCAGCAGGGACACATCCATGCCATCTGCATTTGTGACTGTCAGAGCATCAAAGCAACCTCAGTCTCTTGCAAATGTTTTATGCTCCAACTAAAACTCAGTCTCAAAAATAACATTTTTTGCTCTTTATGAAGCAATGTATTTTGCTTATGGAGACTCTGATAAGCATAAATAAAATGAAAATAGATTTTAATCTAATAATACTTTAAATCCTAAGTCAGAGATGTCCGTAGTTCACATTTTGACACATACTGTTTTTTCTCTGAATACCATATTTTATACAAATATTTGATTACGGCTCGCCCGCCCGCTCACTGCCCTCGGTCCGCGTCCATGGAGAGAGGCTGAGGCAGCCGGACGATGCTCCTCCGGCCCACCCGAGCGAGGCTGCGGGCTCCTCGACGTGGCCATGTCGGCATCGTTGGTCCGCGCCACGGTGCGCGCTGTGAGCAAGAGGAAGCTGCAGCCCACGCGGGCGGCGATCACGCTGACCCCCTCAGCTGTGAACAAGATAAAACAGCTTCTCAAAGACAAGCCAGAGCACGTGGGTCTGAAAGTTGGTGTGCGAACCAGGGGCTGTAATGTCCTCTCTTACACCCTGGAGTATACAAAGACAAAAGGAGATTCTGATGAAGAAGTTATTCAAGATGGAGTCAGAGTGTTCATCGAAAAGAAAGCACAGTTAACACTTTTAGGAACAGAAATGGACTATGTGGAAGACAAACTATCCAGTGAGTTTGTTTTCAATAACCCCAACATCAAAGGAACTTGTGGCTGTGGTGAAAGCTTCAATATTTGAATCCTCAGGACTCCAAGCTCCAGGAGAGCCGGGATCTACCTGGGAGCTTACTGAAGAAATCATGTGATTGTCACGTGCTCAGAGTTTATAATGTGTGGTCATCTCAAGGGGGGAAATAAAGTGATGCATTTTGGAAATCAAGCCAGTGTGCTAAGAGTCCCAACAACTGACATCTGTATTGTCTTGGTATCTGTATGTGAGAGACCATTGGTTTCTTTGGGTCGTTCTTCTGTTCTTTACAGAAAACTCCTACCCTGCTCTTAACACTGCAGTGTGCTTTGTGACAGAACCAACTTTGTGGCCACAGATAACAGGTGTGCACCCAGATCCAGGTGGGACAACTGTGGGTGACAGCGTAGTGGTAACTCATTCCCCTCTCAGATTTGCCATGGCCTTTTATATTTTTATTAGAAATATGGTTATTGGATGCCTCATTTGCCTGCTCAGCAGTTCCACACTTCTGAGTGGTGGTGTCAGAAGGTGGGCGCTGCCAGGCCTGGCCTCAGTCCATCCCCTAGGACGTGCTTAGACCTTTCAGTAGGAGGCTGCTGTGACCAGCAGCCAGCTAGCTCACTGCACCTTCACCCTGTGCGTGTAGAGACTAGATCCGAGCACAAGTCAGAAGAGTTAGACCGCACCCAGCTCCCCCTTCCGCACAGATGATACCAGTGCTCTATGAGACACTCAGTGGGGGTGAGTGGTGGCCTGGCTTCCGTGCCTGGGCAGTGTTTCCATAAGACTTTCTTAATTTATGGAGATTGCATTAGTTTTCTTTTGAATGGAAAAGTCTTGTTTAAACCCTTTGTGTGAATTGCCATCTTGTTTGTTTAGAACTTTGAAACAGAGATCCTGCAATGGTGGAATTGCCCTTGGAGCACAGGACCTGTGGAGCAGAACATGGAAGTGTTGTCTTATAGTTCCCAATATGCGTATACTCTCTGGTTCCTAAATGAAATAGCTGAATTTTTAGTGTTTTTATCACCCATCTTTTGAGTTGTGATTTTGCTGTAGAGTACAGGCCAGCCTCACTCTCGACCCTCCCGCTGCAGCTTTGAGACATGCCAAGCTTTTCTTCAGAGTGGTCTTGACTTGTGTTGACATCTTAAGTGACCTGTGATTTTCATGAAGTAGCTGGGATTAATATTTGCGCTATTTACTAAAATACCTACCACCAAAATGCACCATGTAGTTTTATATGATTGTTGATAAGTCTGTATCATAAGTAGACTTGTTGATACACCTTTAATTTGTGCAATATTGTATGTAGCGATTGAGTATCAATTAAAAAACACCTCTCTGTGAAAAAAAAGTATTTGATTACATTTTTTTTACTATTTTGAAGATGAATTCTCTCTAATATGTTATTTACCATCCTACCCCATCTTTAATGGGTGTATAATAGTTTACTCTATGATCAAGTCATAGTTTATTTGCCCTCATGTTAACTTTGCAGTTATTCCCAAGTTCTAATAATAAATGGCAGTGTTGTCATCAGTGTTCATGAAATTTTTCCTTACATCAAGTATATAAACTCCTATTGGGCTATTTCTGAACCAAGTGATTTATGTATTTAAAGATTTATTTTTGTTTTATGTGTGTGAGTGTTCTGCCTGCGTGTATGTACATATATGCTCCACATGTGTGTAGTGCCCACAGAGGCCAGAAGAGGGGGTTATTGGATCCCTTGTAACTGGAGTTACAGATGGTTGTGAGCCACAGTGAGCGTGCTGAGAACCCAACCCAAGACCCTCACAAGAGTAGCAAGTGCTCTTAATCGCTGAGCCACCTCTGCAGCCCCAGACTTTTGTCTTTAAAGTTTTGAGAGACAGCATCCTTGTCCCTGCAGAGACTATTAGTTTGTGTTCTTACAAGAAGCATGTGTCTGTGTTTCTGCTCTTGGCACTAAATAAAGTAACCTTTGAACTCACTTGTTTGAGTGAGGTGGTTATTCTCTCTTTGTGTGAGTCGTGTCTGTTCATGTTTTCCCTCCTCTTCCTCTCAGAATCGCTGTCTTTCTTGCTCATTTGCAAATGTTACTTAAGGACATTGTGATTCCTGTAAAAAATATTTTTCTACTTTATCATTTTCATTTTATGGAAGCTTTTGATATATATTTTTAAGTTTTATATAAAAAAAAATCCGCCGGGCGTTGGTGGCACACTCCTTTAATCCCAGCACTCGGGAGGCAGAGGCAGGTGGGTCTCTGTGAGCTCGAGGCCAGCCTGGTCTCCAGAGCTAGTGCCAGGATAGGCTCCAAAGCTACACAAAGAAACCCTGTCTCAAAACAACAACAACAACAACATGTTTCCTTTATGTGGGTTATCTTACTATATATGCTTAACACTGGGGCCAGCAAGATGGCTCGCTAAGCAGATGGAACACTTGCTGCCATGGCTGGAGTTCTGAATTCAATCCCCAGGGCACACAGAGTGGAGGATGAAGACTAATTCAGGTTGTCCTCGGGCCTCCATGCACACACTGTGGCACACACACTCACACATATAGATAAATAAATGCAATAAACATTTTTAAATGGCCTCCTCAAATCTGTACTTTTAGTTCAAGTTTTTATTTTTACATCTGGATCTTTGCATGACTCTGACTTTAGAGTTTTCCTCTCTCTTTAGGATTAGCCGGTTATCATAAATCCATTTACTGATTATCTGTATTTTGCTTGCTAATTTGAGCTATGTTTTATCAGGTGTTAAAGCTGAAGCGAATCTGTGTCTGTTTAGTAATTACCGGTTTCTGTTTTACTCTTCCATTTATCCATGGGTCTCATATTGCTCCTCATTATTTCTCTTTGCAAATATTCTCAGCCATTTTTTCAGGTGAAGGGTGACATTATTTTATTGTCTGTCAGCTCTTCTCATGTCATACTGGAATGTTAGTTGGCGTGAAATGGATGTACAAGGTAATTTGGGGAAAATGGACAAATCTCAAGCACTGCAACTCTCCAGGCTATTGGATGCCTCCTCAGGTTTCCTTTCCTTTTCTTTTCTTTTACTTGGTTTTTCAAGACAGGGTTTCTCTGTGTAGTCTTGGCTGTCCTGGAACTCACTTTGTAGCCCAGGCTGGCCTCAAACTCACAGAGATCCACCTGCCTCTGCCTCTTTAATCTTTAATCTTGGTGTGCCACCACCCAGCTCTCCCTAGGTTTTTCAAAATCTCTTCAAAGACTCCATGTTGTTTTATAGTTTGCTTCATCTGGGACCTTCTTATTATTTGCTGTGTACTTATTCCTAGTGGTTTGGAGGGAATATGTTGTACATGGAGCAGTACTCTGCTTACAATTTTTAACTAGTTATATTGATAATATACGAATGCTGTTGAGTAGAGGCAGAGGCAGGGGCAGGATCTCTGTGAGTTCAAGGCCAGCCTGGTCTACAGAATAAGTTCCAGGACAGCCAAGAGTACACAGAGAAACCCTGTCTCAGAAAAAGAAAATTCTTTTGAAGTATGTGTGTGTAGATAGATAGATAGATAGATACCTATAGATATGTATATATGGTATATATAAATGTGTGTGTGTGTAGAGAGAGAGATTTATACTAGTTACACCATTGAAGGTATTTATTCATTTTAAACAATATGTATTGATGAGAGACATAAAAGGAAAGAGCGTAACCTCCCTAGTGGACACTTTTATTCTTTAAAGTATAGCACATTTTTAAATAGCGACCCTTGCTTCTGTGACATCCTTAGATCCCTTTCCCTCAGGGCTACAGATAGAATCTTACAATAGTATGTGACAAGTGAGAGAGAAGCCAGCCCTCCCACCCAGGACCTCACTGATGCCCTCATATCAGGGACCCCTCAAGCTTTAATAGAAGTGTGTGAGATTTCCTGGTGGTGACACGGGAGCACAACCTGCCGCAGTGTGGTGTCCAGTGCCCACCACTTCCCTTTGTTCTCTTCTGCTTGTCTTACAATAATGCAAACTCTGGCAAGCCAGGCTGATCTCTGTCCGTGTCCAGGAGCCAGTGGTCTCTTACGGTGCAGAATCTACCCCCACAGAGCACAAACACATGCAAATATTTGGAGCTTTGGCCTTCAGAACTGACTTTTTCATTTACACAGCACAGCAGTTTTGTGTGCATATGTGCAGAGAAACCTGACATTTGAGGAGAATTAAACTCTGCAAGGACAAAGGAACTTCCCTTTCTTTTTCACTCCAGAACAAGGCTTTGCATCCGACTGGAAAAGAGTGCCTCCAAAATAAGGTCATCATTAATTTTCCTTTGTTATGAGCATATATTGGATTAGCTTGGCTAGTTAAACTAAAGGGGTCATGGCTACTAAGCACTTTCTTTTTCTTCTGTCTTTTGCCTCACTAATTAATGATTATATGCATATGCATATATACAATATGTATTGTCCTCTGGGACATGAGCAGCTTCGGAGAAACAAGCCTTTGATAGCTGTGGACATCGTAGCATTGTTAGACCCCCAGAAAAACTCAGGTATCCGGGGTCCCAGCCCACGACTTCGGTCACCCCAATCACCAGGCGGATTCGAGAGCTTGATGCAAACTGCATGAGCCTTTATTGTTTTTTAACGAGCTAACCCCATGTTAGCTCAGGTCTTTCACTCACCCGCCATCGCGGATGGCTAGAAAAGACACCTCGAACTGGCTGCCGAGCAATCTTGTAGGGCAGCGTAAGGGGAGTGTCTAGGAGTACGCCCAGGCTCAGGATTGGTATGCCTCTAGGCTTGGAGGGCTTGCCCTGTGTTGATTGGCCAATTGGTTGTTATGGCCCATAGGCCCTCCCAGGGCGGCTGCTATGCTCTGTGCACCATTGCTGTGCACTTGTCCGTAAAGCACACCCAGAGCCATAAAGCATAGCGCCACCAGCTAACTTCTGATTGGTTCCTTGCCACAAGGCAGGAACATAACCTCTTAGTGACCAAGACAAGGTCATAGCGAGCACGTGTTACTGTCATGGCTGCCGAAATGGGGGACTGGTCCCTTCAGCATCAGGCGGTGTGATGTCTTTCCGTAAAAATGGGAATCCACATTTACCTGAGTATCATAAATTCCTTTCCTGTTGCTGTGATAAACACCATGACCAAGGCAGTTTACAGAAAGAAGAGTATATTGGGCTTACAGTTTCAGAGGGTGAGTCCGTGACTATCATGGCAGGAAGCATGGCGGCAGGCAGG